CTTCCTCCTGTTTAAATGTTTTATGAAGACCAAATGAAAAGTAATGCCTCCAATGTTATAAATTGCCAACAGATGGCAGTACTGATGTGCTAAACTATCTGACATGTTCTTTAGCATCTGTTCTTTCATTTGAGAAGGATGAGAAGTTGTTACAAGAAAAGATTGTGTAGCTATTGTTTGTGAAACAGAAGCCTGCAATAACTTGTCACAATGCTTTAAGCAACATGCCATGATTGATTTTTTTTTTTAAACTCTGGGAGTTTTTCCAGCTGAAATTTACCACGCATTGCAAGCTACTTGTGATGATGGCAGCAGACATGAAAGCTTCAGAAGCTGTCATGCTATGAGAATCGAGGTATGGATTGGGACAGCTAATGAAACATAGGTTCCTCATTATGACCCAGAAATAAAGTGGCAGTCCATGGAATATTATCATAAAGCTTCTCCTACAAACCCAAATTCAAAACCCAGGCTTCAGCAGAAGTCTCAAGTCTTCTGAGACATGGATATTATTCATAAGGATTTTCTTGAATCTGGCACCACTGTCAGTCAGGGTGCTAGATGCAATTGTGAAAACTTTGAAAACATGATTAAGTAGATTTTAGAAAACAAGAAGAAAATTTTGCTGTGACATGACAAAGTTAAGCCTCGCACCCTACAAGCCACCCAGGAGGCAATTGCCAAGTTGACTCTCATTATCTTACTCCATTCACTTTTCAGTGCAGACTTGATGCTGTGTGACTTCCACTTTTCCAGAATTGAAAAGATCATGTATGCCTGTTTGTGACTCAAACGAAAAAGTGGAAATGACTGTCGGGACTTGGCTAAAGAGACACAATGTGTGGAGTTCTTTCATCACAGCTTTAAGTAGCTTATCCATTGTTGCAGAAGTATGTTGCAAAAGGTGGTGGGGATTATGTGGAAAAGTAAATATGAGAGCACATTTCAAGGACAATTTTCTGTTTCATTTATTAAAATATACATTGGAAATCTTTCTGCACAGTCTATATAGAAATGAACAGTTTGAAGTTAATGAGCCTTGCATATGCTGTGTTTCAATCCCAATGACTTTGCTTGAGCTCTCAGAGGGAAAAAAAAGGTAAACTTTCATGACTTCAGGAAGACATCCATACAATTTTGTTGGCAACAAGAGGGAAGTGATTTACCATTCCCCTCTGGGATATCTTTTGTCCTTCCAGACTAGCTTACAGCAGCTGTATTTCATAGTGATCTGCTCTCCAAGTATTAATCATTCCACTAACTTCACCTAGCTTACAAATGAAGATGATGACCATCATCACACATTTCTATTATTAACCTTCTAGCCATATCATAGTTACCTTTGAGAGGTCCATTGTTAAAACATGGAAGACATTTGACATAATCATACAGTATGTTAATGCACAGAAGCAGCAGTGCCTACAGTCAAGGAATGAATACTGTAAGGTCTTCTGCTTTCAGTGAAAGAATAGCTTTTTTTAAAAAAAGAACCGTGTGTGTAACTTAAGGGGTGACTCACATGCAAAATATTTCATTTGTTTAATTGCACAGCAGAGTAAACAGACCTAGAATTCCACATGCCTCCAGGCAGATGAAGTTGAAGCTTTGGACTTTGCTGGCTGGCTTTGTAATTCTCTGTCTGGTTTAGCATCCTTGTATGTGGGTTGCTGAAATTGCCTCTAAACCAGCCCTGATTGAAAACATTCCCTATTTAATAAAATGGTGAAATATAAAAACAGAAATATTGTAAAGGAGGTATATTAGACACTCCAGGTGCCACCTTAAACCTAGCTGACCAGTGTTAACATAAACAAGGTGGGAAAAGAAAAAAAGAAAGGAGCAGGCTATTATAATACAACACTGATCCCTAAATTGACTTCAGTTCCAAAAGCCTTCCCAGAACAAAGTATGTATTAAACGTAACAAGGTGTCTGACCTATGTCACCTCTCAATCACAGAGGACATTTCTTGTTTTTATGAACAAAGCCTTTGAAGGGCCACTTACAAAGTGCCTCTCTCATATCCCAAACAGCAGCACTTTTGTTGGATCAAGCTCTGATTAAGGCATTAATGCATTAATCCTGGCTTTTCAAAATTTACAGTTAGACTTTTCTAGATTGGATCTTTGTTCTAAGCTTCTTCTGGTAAAATTGGATTACTCTTATTTTTTTTTCCAATTCATGTATTATCTAGGAAACTCTAGGACAGTGGTGGCAAACCTATGGCACGGGTGCCAGAGGCGGCACTCAGAGTCCTCGCTGTGGGCACGCGTGTCATTGTCCCAGTCCTAGGCCTTCAGCTGGGTTTTATAAAACCTTTTCACTTTAGGCCTCCACCGCCATGTGCAAAAAAAAAAGGTTCAATCAGTCAATTTCAATGTCTCGAGGGAAAACAAAAGTTCTTGCAAAGTTGGAATTGATTGATTGAACTTTTTAGTCCCATCCAGTCTGCCATTACCACTGCAGCCATGCCCACCCAATTGGCCACGCCTACCCAATGGGACACACCCACCCAATGGGACACACCCACCTGGCACTCGACGATGCGTAAGTGGGTTTTGGGTTGCAGTTTGGGCACTCGGTCTCTAAAAGGTTCGCCATCACTGCTCTAGGATCACTTTCAAGTCCAATGAAAAGAGTCAGGGTTTACTATCCCATAGAATCCTCAACAAACCTATAATTTACTAATAAGAAACGCAGTCCCTAAATGCTAATCTACCAGCATGCACATTAAAAAAAATGAAACAGACGTTAGGACAGGTAGTTATAATAGTTCATTTAGTGACCATTCAGAGTTACAACGGCAGTGAAAAAAGTGATTGTTTTTCACACTTACAACCATTGCAGCATCCCCATAGTCATGTGACCAAAATTCAGACTCTTAGCAACTGATTTATATTTATGATGGTTGCAATATCCTGGGGTCATGTGATCGGCTTTTGCGACCTTTCGACAAGCAAAGTCAATGGGGAAACCAGAATCACTTAACAATCCTGTTACTAAAAAAGTCAATCAATCAATTCCAACTTTGCAAGATTTTTTTTCCCGTGAGAAGTTGAAATTGACTGATTGATTGAACTTTTTTTTTTTTTTTTTTTTTGCACACGGTGGTGGAGACCTAAAGCGAAAAGATTTTATAAAACCCAGCTAAAGGCCTAGGACTGGGGCAACGGCGCACATGCCCACAGAGAGGGCTCTGAGTGCGCCTCTGGCAGCCGTGCCGTAGGTTCGCCACCACTGGGCTACAGCAAAACCGATCAGAATTCTATCTCCTCTTTCTGCAGGAGCCATCTGGCTGCAAAACACCAGGCTCCTGCTTGGGTTTAGATCAGTAGCAGTGTGAAGAAGGGAAGGTTAGTAGTCTCTTTTCCTTCTCTCGTGTGTTGTGTGTGTGTGTGTGTGTGTGTGTGTGTGTGTGAAGAACGAAGGGCCAGTTACTGCTTTGGGACTGTCTCCCCAGAAAAACAGTAGTTTTAGGGCTTTTATGTAAATGCAAGAGAGAAATTGTGGCAGGTGTACTTTGTTGCTACCCTTTTGTAGCAAATGTGCTTGCTTTTTGCAAAAGGTCAGACATGCACACACAGTATGTTCTGGAAATGTGCCACATATTTATTTATTTGCGTGGGAAGGGGTGTGAGCAGATTTTTGTTGCTTCAGGGACCTGCAGTGTGCTTTAGGTGGAATGACTGAATGTGTTTTTTTTTTCCTCCACATTTACAGCGGGGACTCTGGCTAATTGGCATTGCCTACTTGTCTTCTCTATTCTGAGACTTTGGGGTGAAGATGCTTATATAAAGCCAGCTTCAAAATAGCTTGCAGATGTAGAAATGATGCCACAGAAAAAAAACTAGAAACAAAGAAAATCCCTTAACTCGTCCTTCTAAAAAAACTGAACTTGGTGCACGTAGCTCCTGAAATTTCTCTCTGCTTAGAGTTGCTGGAAGTGTGTAACACTATCAACTTTCCATTCTAAATTAATGTTTACGGTGCTCAACTGCAATTTAAACCTAGTTTGTAGGATTGAGGTGTTGGCTCTGTTTTTAGATGAAACTTTAATAGAATTAGACCCTTGTGTAGCATTTTAAAAGCTTCATATCTCAAAAGTGTAACCCTAGCATAGTTGGTTTGCTTTGTTTTGTTTTGTGTCCCAAACAGGCCTATTACAGTCTAACTAACCAATCTTTAGTTACCTTAGAGTACAGAATATCAATCTATTTTACAGTTTGAATCAGATGATATGTTATAGAATATTCATTAGCACTAAAACAGTAGACAATATACTTTGGGCAACTACAGTATAGTAGCTGCTTGGATCCTGAGTCCTAACATTTGGTCCTCCCATTTGCTACTTAGTCAAGATCCAAGGGCATTACTATCAGTATGTAAATTGGGCAATTACTTGTGGAGCAACTCTCTGATGTTCTGTTAGAGGAATCTTCAGTTTTATTTTCTTTGGGGTGCAAAAGCCATTGAATGATAGAAATATCCAAATGTAAAGAGATGATAAGAAAGAAAACATATTAGCAATTATTGATGTAAAGCCATGATAATGTCACATGTAAACATTCATGAAATTATTGCAAGATTATGTCATGCCAATTGCCTTTTTGGCCCCATGTGGATGCCCATGCTAACACTGAAAATCAGCCGGCAGAAATGCACTGTTATGTTCTTTCCGTCTGTACTTCAGCCATCAATTGTGGTTGTATTATCCTTTGTATTGGTGGGACTGCTCAAGAGTCAGATGCAATAAGTTTTGAGACATGCTAGTGCAGTGGTTCTCAACCTGTGGGTCGGGACCCCATTTGGGGTCGAACGACCATTTCACGGGGGTCGCCAAACAACGCAGTCTGCCATTTTTTCCCCTTTTCCTTAGCTGTGCTACTCCCTTTTATTCTATTGGCTTTTGAAAGCCAATAGAATAGACTCTCTTGAATAGAGTCTAATTCTATTGGCTTTCAAAAGCCAATAGGAATTGTCCAGGCTGTCTCTGCCCTGCTGAGCCCGCCAAAAGTCCCATTCTGCAAACGGTGCTGCATCAGTTGAGTAGTCCTCGACTTACGACCGGTTGGGGGTCGCGGCATTAAAAAAGTTGAGAACCACTGTGCTAGTGATTATGTCATTAAGTACCCTTTATGGAATTACAATAGGCATTACTGTGTTTTCCTTTTGCTGCATCATCCTGTAAAATTATACTGTGCAACCCAGCCCAGGAAGAAATGTTAGTCTGGTTGTAACAGTCGCCACCACAACCCTTTGAGACAATTATTTTAAAGTTCAACCTAACTTTTACTGGATTAGTAGCACAATGAGGTATGTATGGATTTAAAAGAATCTTCTTCTGAGTCTTTGGCATTATTTTGGAAAACTGGTAAAGATACCTAAGGCTGGAAAATTGTTGCCAATTCATGCAAGGCTTTCACAAAACCACCCACATTTGAAATGGACAACACATATTTAGATCAGCCAGAAGGCTGACATAATGCAAGGTTGCTACTTAAATTCCCAACTCCAAATAGATTGGCTGAATTTATATCTTGCTGCAATTTCAGAACTTTCAGTGGTGGAGAGAGAATAGATTTGTGTGTATCTCTCTGTCTCTCTCTCTATCTGTCCCCCCCCCCTCTGTGTGTAATAGGCTGATGGAAGCTAAATAAACCACAATTGCAAATCTAAACACTTTTAAAACATCAATGTAATTGAAATGTCAGAACATCAAGAAATATGAGCATGCAACGTCTCAATTGGAATAAAACAATATCCTGATCCTAGGAGCATAATCACTCAGAATTATTTGTCAGTTTTTCTTAATAAATCACTATTTTTTCCCCATTCTTCAGTTGAATTTTTCTTGACACAGGTGATTTTGATCCTTTTGCCTTTGGCTTGCCAGAAATACTACCTCCTCTTATTTGAAATCCTTCAACTAATATTCTCAGGATGCTAAATACTGGTTGCAAACTTGAAAAAAAGTTACTTTAAGAGCAATCCCAAAGAATCATTCCCAAGTGTTTGAGCTGAAATCTTAGGCTGCAATTTGAATGCATGATTTTAGGTTGCTCCTGTGCGGCTGGAGTTTTGCTTTAGGGGGGAATGTTATCATTCACGTGTCTTGAATCTCTTGCCTATGGGCAGTCGTTAGTATTCCCACTTGATTACTGCATATCTGATAGTTGAGACACTTAATAAATGCAAGCTGAGATTCTGGTTGAATCAGGCAAGGCTCGATCTGCAACTTCTTAGAAAAATATATGACTGAATATGCATTTAGACTTTTAGCATTGCTATGTTAATGTATGAGTGAATTCAGTCCAAGCTCCAGTGTTTTTCAAACAGCATCCAATATGCCTTTGAGGATATTAAGCTTTTTTGTTTGTTTGCACAAACTCCATCAAATATGTAACAATAAGATTCTGGATTATTCCATTCAAATCAATTTAAGACTAGTTTTCAATATGATCCAATGTCTATAAAACATCTGCGAAAAAAGCAAAGCAAAACAAAGTAGCAATTATGTTTTCTGTACTGTTTTTCCTGTGAACAATCTATTAGAATAGAATAGAATAGAATAGAATAGAATAGAATAGAATAGAATAGAATAGAATAGAATAGAATAGAATAGAATAGAATAGAAGCTGGATGGGACCTTGGAGGTCTTCTAGTCCAGGCCCATTCAAGCAGGAGGACCTATACTGTCTCAGACAGGTGACTGTCTAGCCTCTTCTTAAAAATCTCCAGTGATGGAGCGCCCACAATTTCTGGGGGTAAGCTCTTCCACTGGTTAATTTGTTAATTAATCTAAAGTTAATTTGTTTTATGGTTGATAGATATTACCATCACAGATCAGAGGGGTTTTTTAAGGCTGAGTAGAAATAATTTAAACGTGCTGAACTTTCTTACTGGAATCAAGCAAAAATGTTTAACTTTACCTGGATTGTGTTCTTATTATTTTTTTCCAGACAGCAATTCCTTCTTAAGCTGCATTCTGTCAATGTAAAAAAAACAAAAAACATTCTAGGCAGCCTAGAATCATTTTTAATTGTTCTGCTTTGGAAAGAATGTTTTTCTTCTTCTCCCAGCACAAAACGTCCTATCAGGACAATCTAATGAGTTTTGAGGACAAGCTTGGGACACTGTGGCTGTCCTGGCCCTTTAGAACAGCTTCTGCCCCTGAGATTCAGAGTCCTCCTCTATTTGACTTTCAGAGGGTTGTGAAGACCTAGGATAGAAATGAACCCAGCAAATGTAAGAGCATGACTATATGATGTTCCAGTGCTGAGTTTTGAGATAAGTGGGGTTGCTGGATTAGTTTGCTGTTTTTATTTAATGTTATTGTGAGCTGTCATGAATTATGTGTTGTAAGACAGTTGGCCATATATATTTTTAAATAAGTAAATGATGGGACAATAATCTACTGAGCTCCGGTTGGCCCAGCAAGTATTTTTTTGGAAATGTCCCTCCATGAGTATTTTGATTACAAGACATACCATTCTCTTTACACTGGACTATCAAAATCCCAGAAGACTGAGATAGATCTGTCAGCTTGAAATCCCATGCTGATTGAGCATTTGTGTGTGTGCGTGTGTGTGTTTTGAAGACCTTAAAGCAGGGGTCTTTAAACTTGGCCCTTTTATGACTTGTGGACTTCAACTCCCAGAATTCCTCAGCCAGCTTGCCTGGCTGAGGAATTCTGGGAGATGAAGTCCACAAGTCATAAAAGGGCCAAGTTTGAAGACCCCTGCCCTAAAGTATGGAAAGTACATAGGACATACACTCACAAGCAAAACACACATGAGCAAAAATGAATCCCAGGGTAATTGACTTCAAGAGGGAGATGAAGAAAGAAAAGAAAAGGGCAGAAGAATATTGCAGGATCTCTGTTTTGCGTTCCTCTGCTTTCTGAGGTTTTCTGATAATTCAGGCAGATTTTTTTTTTCTGGAGGGGGCCTCCTTGATACGGGTTTATCAATCTATTTATTTAAAAGGACTATCAAACTCCCAGGCCCTGCAATAATCTTGATAACCTGTAGATTTCAGCATTCAGAAAGTAATTTCATAGGACCTCAGTCTTATGAGAGATCAATAGTTGTGTTAAAATAAGCATGCAAAAGTAAAGGCTTGGATGCCCAATCCTGCTGTAGCACATATTCAGAAAAGCAATTCTTATGTTTTGGTGACATTCTGTGAGTAGGTGAAAAAATTGGTAGAGAATCCACTAATTGCAATCCTGACCTCCCCACATTAAATTTGGTGAGACCAGCCACACTGCCTACTTTCATTGTGCAGGTATGGTAAAGACAGGCTTTTGGACCAGCACAATTTATATTTATATTTTTCCTATGACAGGAGAGAAACACCTTCATGTGGCTATCAAAAACATCAGCTTCAGCTGGTAGGTCTGCATGATTGCTACTCATTCATATGATCATTCTTTCATATACAAATGCGGGTTAAAAATAAGTTATCCAATCTCATGATTCCTCAGTGCAATTTGAAGTGGTTTAGTTTCTCATTTGCACTGAAAATTAAAGGTTATTCCTTTCTGGTTTTTTTTTTTTTTAAATTCCCATTCAAGAAGCATTCAATGAACTCAGGCAAGCGAGTTGTTCTTTGTAGCTGGCACTTTAGCTTATATTAAAAGTTCCAATCAGATGAAGATAAATCAACAGGCTACAGGGTGTTCTGTGAAGATGTTGTGTTTATAAATGGCTTCTATAGCCATCCATTTTAAATAGGGGACATCTGGCACCCTGTTTCAAAGTTGTTTTCAATCAAATGATCTCCCATGATGAAGTTGTGTCAGTGGGAGACAACTGACAGAATTTTTAAGATCAGTTTGTGAAGCCTGTTCAAAAGGTTTTTCCTCCAAACCACATTGTGATCAATTCCATGGCACATTTGCTGCTACACAAGGCCAGCTGTTGCATCTGTTTGTCTTCTTTGTTAGTATCCTCACACAAAAGCAAACAAAAAAAGTGCACACGTTCTGAAACTCCACCATCACCTGATGATTCTTTCTTTTGTGTAGGTGTGGGAGGGAAAAGCTGGCTTGAAAGTTAAATACCAGGAAGAACCAATTGTTGCATCATGTTTATAGTACACTGTGTACTTATTAGGTCTAATTCATGTTACATTACATTGCAACAGGTTTACCAGCATTTATGGATATCTATGCATGGTGAATATGCCACTAAAGAAAGGAGAAAATGTTGGGAAAAAAACTCCAATCTCAGCTCCTTTGCAACATTCTTTGTAGATGTTAAAAGAGTATAAGACTATTTTTCTTGATGTTGTTTTTTGTTTATTTTTTTTTTTTTGTATTTTTCTGGATGTGTTGTTTCCCCACAAAAACAACATTCCAAATTATAAAAAAAAATCAAAAATACATGTCTGTGCATAATTTTATAGCCCTGACAATTGCCAGATAACTATTTCATTCTAATCTTTTTGTAATTTTTGAGGTCAACTGGAAAACAGTTTTAATTTAATAAGAGCCACACAGTTTCTGAACTTTTTTTTTTTTTTTTGAGAGAGAGAGAGAGCCTGGTCCTCATAAAATGACCTGTTAACTTTCAGGAATAATAATATTCTCTTAATTTGGCATAGGAAAACAACAAAGCAGTAACAATTACAGCAAAATAAAAGTTTTACTGTAAATAGTCTTCCATTCTAACTCCCCCCCACACACACATCACAAAAACAAGGAAATTAGAAAATTGGAAAAGCCTTGTCCTGCCCACTCCTACTATTGTATAATTTACTTCCTTTTGTTATTCAGTTCAGTCCTTACCTTGCAATTTCCTCTGGCACAAGGATTCTAGCCTTTTGAGATGCTGTCTAATCAATACAGTGTCCTTACTTAACCTTGGAAGGGCCAGGAGACAGTAACTGCCCAGCCAACTCCTCTCTTTGGCCAGCTGCTTTATCAATATGAAAAAAGGCTTTCTGGCAGAACCAAAGTTGAGAACCTTTTCCTGATAGTGATTAATGAGAAGAGGATGTTGCAGATTCACAGTAGATTCCAAAGTGTGAGACTGAATATAGACTATGTTTAGGAACAAAAAAGGTGATTTTGAAAGCTGGCTGATTTTTTTTTAAAATTTTTAAATGTAAGAACTATGATTCTATTCTGATTTGAGCAGCTGGGTGGGAGGGAGAAATTTGGCTTCCTCTTTCTCTATATTTACATTCCTTCTTCAGATATATTACGTGAAGATCCAGCTGTCTGGAAAAGGGTCCACTGCTGGGAAATGTTAAAGGAAAGAGAACAGGACAACCAACAGCAAGTGGATGGACTCAGAGTGACAATCCCCATTGAAAAACTTGAAAGAACAGGTTAGGGATAGATTGTCACAGAGAAAATCCACATGGTAACTAGGAATCGAAAATGATGGGACACATCATCAAATCTCTGTAGTTGGAAGAAGCCATTCCCACTTTCTGAACCTTACCTCTTTATTTTCTGCATAACGCAAGTCCAGAAATCTTCTGGGTCGCTCCAAGCAAGCTGAATAAAATATTTGGAAAACAAATGTCCAATTTCTTAATCGCAGTAGTGAGAGTCGCATTGGAGCACATACATATATGGGTTGTGTGAGGGAGGGTACATGTAACGTCTTATCCAGGGGAACAAGTTACCTGGCTGCCCTTCTCCAAGACACTTGGATGTTTTGAAAATAAGAACTGAACGATCTCTTGCACTGACCCTCTAACTCTCATTCCCTGCCGTATAAGAGGCAGGTATTTTGTCAGCTGCACATTTCAACTTTGAGAACTTTTGAGTGCCGGCAGGAGGAAGAAGTTCCTTCGTTGCATTTCTTCTCCCCAAGCCGCGATCGAAGGCGGCAGGAGAGGCTTCTCGAACCGAAAAGAACCGGGTTTAATCCAACTGGCTTCTCTCGGGGTTCAGCACCGATGGCTTTATTTATTATTCGAGGGACGAGGAAAGGGTTAAGTTTGGAAGAGGGAAGCGAGAGAGGGGCGAAGGCTGGAAAGAGTTGTCTCAGCGCCCCGCCCCCGCGCGCGTGTGTGTGTGGAGGTCGCGCGCGCGTGGCGGCGGCGTGGGGGAGGGGAGCCGGGCAAACCTCTCTTGTTCTTCGACGTCTCGACTCAGGCTGGGCAGCCTCGGGGCTGGAAGGCGAGGAAAGCAAGGCCGCGTGTGCTCCGGTAAAAAGCGCTCCAGCCCAGCTGCTGGCCGTAAGACATGCGCATTGCAGAGCGCCCTCTCACCCCGCTCAGTTATGCCAAGTATGTGAGCCCGAACAGCAGCAGCAGCAGCGGCAGCAAAGAGCGAGAGGCGCCCAAGGACCAAGTAGATCATGGCGTGCTGTAGCCAGCCGCGCACCAAGCTATTGCGCTTGTCGTTGCCGCCGCCTCCGCTTTGCTCAAGGCGCCACCAAGCAGCAGCAGCCCTGCGCTCGACGGCAGTGAACTGAGGGAGACGGCCAGGCATGGCTGACCCTCTGCGTAGGACTTTCTCCAAGCTGCGAAGTAGGAGGTCGCAGCGAGTAGCCACAGGCGCCGGGGAAGCTGCCGGGGACCCCGGCGAGAGCGGCAGCACGAGCGTCGGAGCCCTTGGAGGGAAAGCCCAGCAGAACCTGCGCCTCCATCACTCCTACCGGGAAAACGGAGTGGCGACCGAAGCGTGCCCTGGGCTGGGAAGCCAGGTGGGCGGTTGTGAGGTGCTCCTCGTGTCCCCGCTGGAGGGGTCGGGCTTGCGGGACTCGGCTGCCTGGTCCCGGCGGGGAAAGGCGGAGATGCCTGGAGAAAAGTTACCGGGAGCCGCCGTGGCCCGCGCTTGCCCTCCGAGAAAGCGCGCGGAAGGCACGGCGCTGCAGCAGGCGAGCCCCCCGGAACTCCGCGCGCCTCCGCTGGCGGCCGAACTCTGCTTCTCCTCGTCTTCCTTTTTCCCGAGGGGCGCGGAGCCTCGGCCGGCCCTGGAGTGCGGTGGCGGGAGCGAAGACGACGACTATTACGATAACCAGAGGCTGCCTGGCTGGGGCTGCCAAGGATCGGCCCGAACGCCCGAAGAAGCAGCGCGGGGAAACAAGCAAGGCAACGCGGCCGCCGTTCCGGGTGCAGGCGGCGGCACCAGGGCCAACGGAGCGAGAGAGAGCACCGGCAAACTGCGAAGCCAGCTCCAGGAGGCCTATTACCTGTTGATCCACGCCATGCACGACCTGCCTCCGGCCAGCCCCATCACTGGAGGTCCCTTGCCCCAGCCTGCTAGCCATCTGTCCGTCTCTGAGGCAGCAGGGAGCGATGCTTTACGCTGGTCTTTCTCCTGCGGGGACCGATGCTCCCAGTTGCAAAGATCCGATCCCAGTGCCCAAGGCTCAGCCAAGAATCCCATCTGGCGCCAAGGCATCAGCAAGAGTCTGGAGAGCCTCTGCTTTGCCCAGCCTTCCACTTCCAAACTGCTGCTCCTGCCGAGATGTCGGAGCGAAGGTGCGCTCCAGTCTCTGCCTCAAGAGCCACTGGAGCCCCTTGGCCACCTGCTGCTCGAACCCCAAGAACTTGGCACCAGTCGGGAAACCTGCTTCCTTGCAGCTGCCACACAGGGCTCTGGTGACAGCAGCTGTGAGAAGAGCCTCAGCAACCAAGAAGCTCATCCCTCAGGGCTCCGGGAAGACCTGGAGGAGCTCTTGGCTCCTGAGCTGTATGCTGCCCAAGGCAAAATGGTGGATCCAGCAAGAGCAACCAGGTGTAGCCATGAGGGAAGTCCCCAGCACCCCCCAGCAGATGCCTCCCTAGGCCCCTTTAAGCCACCTGCTGTGACTGTTCGGAAGTTACAGAAGTGGATGTACAAAGGACGCCTGCTGTCCTTGGGCATGAAAGGCCGGGGTGGAACAGCTGGGATGTCCCCTCCATCTTCCCGCGCCAAGGTCACTGGGAGCTGCAGGCCACTTCTTAGCAGAGGAGAGGGGCTCACACTCTCGCCCCCTGCTCACTTGAATGGCCCAGGGGCCAAGGCCCAAGTATCACCTTCCGACCAAAGAATCTTGTTGGCAGGTAATATTTCTGAGGGCTCTTGTTTTTCTTTCAAGGGCCTTGTGAGCTTAAGGGCTTTGTTCCACTTTTACTGTTAAGATGTTTTTCCACTTTCTTGCTTCTCCATGGTTGTGAAAGACTTAGCTTGTAGGAAACCAATCATTTTGAAAGCTGATAATCATATCAAAGCCTGATGTACTCTGTGGTCTTTTTTCCAATTGGCTTATCTCTTCAGTAGCTTCCAGAGGCAAAAGGTAGCTTCACTTTTCCAGCCTGGAATACATGATTTATGCAGTGAAATTGATTGAACCTTATTTACACAATATTATACAATCCTCCTAATTTTTAACCTAGAAGGCATGCAAAATCCTATGCCAAATCCTAAAATGTAAATAGCAGGCTAAGTTTGCAGGAGAGAAGTCTCTGTCCATGTTTGTAGAGCACAGCTAGACATTTTCCATAGGGAACATACCACAGTTGAGTTCCTTTTGGCAATACCTGCTGCATTATACAGTCTCATTAAATGTTAATACTTGTGTAAATTTCTGTTCAATTTTTACAGTTTAAATGTGTTTCTTTTTTGCTGCATTATTATAGATTGAAACGTATGGTGTCATGCTTCTGGAACTATTGCTAAGAGTGCAAGTAAGGATGAGAAATCAGCATATTTGACAATCCTTATGTAGTTAGTATTATAACCTGTGAAAAATTGCCATGACAACAATGTATACTCTAACATGTTACATGTAACATAGAAGTTGCTGTTTAAGGAATTTGGATACCAGGTGGAGGAAGTTAGGGTTTCCACATGGTATTTGCTATGCACCTACTTATTTCCCCCAATTAATATGAGTTCACAAATTAATATGGATATTTCGACTTTCCCTATTTGAATGATCTCTAGATTGAGCTTACTATATATAGTTAAATGTGACCAGTGGCCATAGTGGCTAGGAATTCTCTGAGCTGCCATCCAACACACTTAGGACAGTAAATTGAAAAATGAATGAAACTAATAAAATTGGAGGGGGTAATGAGCATGATAGTCCAACACAGCTAGACTGTATTTAATACACAATTAGGGAAGTGGTTTCAGGAGTTGAAATAAAGGCTGTGTGAATATTTGATTTGCAGATTCAGTTCAAAAAGCTGATTTGGATAAACTGATTTGAATTGGTTTTGGTTATTTCGGATATCTTGCATACCCACATAGGAACTTTTAAAAAACCGAATTGACTATTTGATTTTCATAGACTCCTGGAAATATCAATGACATAAAAATACTTTTCTCATCTCTTTCAAAACCCCTGTTTTCAAGCAGGAGCAGAAGTTGTGTGTCTGGTGAAATGTGTCTGGTGAAGCCCTGTGACTTCATTTTATTCTGTCTATTCTGAGGGATGAAATATTCTAGGAAGAGCTGCCAACTCAGCATGGCCATTTCTAGAAAATAGCTTCCTTTGTATATTAATTGTGCATGTGTGGCTAAAGTGAGTTAATAACTCACTTATTCAAGTACCCATATGTGAAGCAATCTTTCTAAGTCTCATTCCGTTTATTTCTTTTTCCCAGCATTACAATAATTCAGCATCAGCCTGAATTTCACTAAATATTAATAAAGGAGTCAGGGAGGAAGATGGGACAAAGTAGAATGAACTCTCTGTCATCTTTTAATGACAAAATTACAATGCAGGGGAAAAAATTGGGGGAGAGCTAACTATGCCTTGGCTCCAGACCTAGTCTACTCTTATGTGCGGAAATTAGAAGTTGTAGATTTTTAAAATGGCAATCTGGTTAATTACTTGTTGGGATAATGATTTTTTAAAATTATGCATACCTATTTTATCATCGTCCTGAATCAATTCATTACAATATGAAAGCATCTTTATTGAACATTATGGACTAAATCTATTGGTCTGTTTCAGTTTTTTTAGATTTTATAGGCTAGGTTTGAGAGAGAGTGACTACCCCAAATCATCCAATCAGCTTCTGTTCCTAAGGGAGGACTAGAACCTACACCTCCATGCTCTCAACACCTTAAGCACTGTACCACATTGCTTTTGCAGGGCTATATAGTAGGCAAGAAGGTTTATTTCAGAAATATGCGGCTTTACCAAATCTTTAATTCGATCACTTGCATTATTGAATGATTCTGGTCAGGTAAATTATTTTTGTTCTTTAATAACTAAACACAGTCTTTTTACATGCATGGTTAGTGTGAATGGTTATTTAAACAAGTTATGTGTTCAGAATCCACTCTTCAGAATCACAGGTATTTATAATGTAGGAATAACCATCTTCTATTTTAATACCTTCTGATTTGTAGATTGAGAGCTAGTTTGGTACAGAACAAAGCACTGAGTGATTTTGAGCCAGTCACTTTTTCTCAGCCCTAGAGAGGAAGAAATGCCAAACCACTTTTGAAGGACCTTGCCAAGAAAACTGCTGGGACTTAACCAGCCAGTGTCCAAGAATTGGACAGAATTGAACAGTAGTAAAAAAAAAGGATGATTTCTATTGCTGCGTTAGCCTTCAAAAACAAGAGATATTTATCTTACTATAGAATTAGGCAGTTTGGTGGCTTCCTTGTATCTTGAACTTCAATTCCCATGAGTTAGCATAGGTAATAATCAAGGTTTAGCGGAGTTTATGCATTTGTTAGATATGTCTCCTGTCTTTCATTCAGGAGCTCAGAGTGACATAGTATTCTCTTCTTCCCTTTTTTCTACAGCAGTCAATCTGTGATATAGGGTGGGCTAAGCAAGACTAAGTGGCCCAGAGTTTCCATAGCTAAGGGTAGACTTTAACATGGGTCTTCCTCATGACAGTCCAGCACTTTACCACAACACGATGCAGGCAGAATTATATGCCCACACTAAATTTCACAAATTCAAAATACCTGGAGGACATCAGGTTGATTGTCCACATCTCAGAAGCATTCAAGTTGCATTTGCTTAATCTACCATGCTTAATCATAAAATCGGTTAAGTGCTGCATGGGTATTCCATATCCACCCTCTGATTCCTTCTTTGAGTGAAAAAATATTGCTTCCAAGCTACCTTGGCTTGAGTTGATTGCTTTATTAATGGGGTGTGTGTGTGAGACAATACAAATATTTGCTTAGCCTCCCCAAATTATGCATACTTTCTTCATAGATGAATTGGAATCAATACTCAATGATTTCAGTGAGGTCTTCCAAATAAAGGTGCTTAAAGCTCTTATTATAGGGTTATTGCACTGACTTTAGCCTCTGTATAAAATTAATAATTTTATTTAGGTGAGCAGCTAGAAAAAGAGACTAGGGAAAGGAAATTCAGTTAGTACAACTGCCTACAAAGTATGTTGGATTTTCAGGAATTTTGCATAAATCTTTGTATAAATTCTCTCTGGGTGTTGCTGGAAAATCCAAGAAGGACCCATCCCCCAACATTACTATGTTCAGGAGAAAAGGCTCTTTACAGGTGTTTATGCTTTTCATAATGTTTGAAGAAAAACTAAATTACATTAATAGGCATTCCTTATCTTACCTTTTTAGCAGTGTGTGGTCTCTCCTTAAATGTAGAATCAATTACATTTTGGTATGGTTTCTCTTTCTTTCATGTTACCACTTTTCCATGTAAGTACATACTAAATTACTGTAGTAGAAAATGCTTTTCAAATGTGTAGCCACATTTTGTTTTATGTTCTGTTTTAGGATTATACCAGGTTTAAAGTTTCATTGCTTCAAATCCTCCTAGATTTATTACAAAACACTTCTTTAGAAAAATATAATTAGTAAAAGCATTCTAAGTATTGGTTGCAAAATATTATTATATTTCACATATTGTTTTACAGGAGTAGGGAGGTTACAGTGTATATAATTATAATGTACCTTTTAATTGAACAGAGTTGAATAGGCACAGTAAGAAAAGCAGATATGTTGAAGAAGTAAGATTTGCTATGTTATGAATGATTTTTGGCATGTAGACCTATAGCATCTTGTTTGGAATTACAGTTTAAAGCAAAATATAAAAACTAGCACAGTGAGGAATTAAATGATAGCAAATTCAGATTAGAATGAATTGTATTTAAAAACAAAGATTTCTCTATCTTTAAAAGAGACTTAGAAGAGCTTATTATGAGAATAAAAGCAGAAAGTGAAGAATCTGTGTTAACTTTAAATACAAAGAAGACAAGGTAATATCAGCATCCATGAGTTTACACTTAACAGTGAAGATGAGAAATAATGTTTTCTTAAACTGTAGAATAAAGATGGGCATTGTGCTTGAGACGTAACAATGGGTTTAATCCTAAAACCAATGCAGTACAAATGTGAGCAAGATCATAAAGGATCAGGTCATTTTAGTAAGAGTAAAGAGTACTGGTTAAAGCAGGGGTTTTACAGTGGTACTGTACAATTGTGAAAACTGTTTACTGTGTACTTCAAATTATGAGTTTGGAATTGGCTACTATACAAGTGAACAAGAAAGAGCAATCAATCAGTCCCAGACCAAATAATGTCAAACTCATCTCTTGAAATCAGCAAGCAGAAATTTATATATTGGATATATAATTTTGCCTCTATCATATGCCCAAAGTCATCCTGATAAATGGAATTTGAAGACGGGGATAGAGCTATAAATTACTAAAAACAGCCTTAGCTTTCATTGAATAGTGTTAACTATTACTTGAATTTTCTCTTAAGTGTAATATCATGAAACCTTAAACTTTACAGTTAACTTAAAGGAGCTCACTGAATTAAATATCTGAATAAGAGGTGAGCTCCCCATTTCTTGTTTAAGATATTGAACTTGGAAGATGCAGATTCAAGTCCTTGATAAATTATAGAGTTCACTGGGTAACATTCATTCATTCGTTCTCTGCATATCCTTTCAAGGAGATAATTATGTACAGATGATCCATCAGGTGTGCCATCTTATCCTTCCAGAGGACATGATAATTCAGTTAAGTATGATTCTTGGTCATTTCGTGGACATGTCCAGTGTTCTTGGCAAGAAGGTAGAAGGGATTTGCCAGTACTTCTGAGATTTTTTTTTTCCTGGTCTAGACCAAATACTTGAGATTTTTCTTACGGTTTCCCTTTGGAGTCCTAATCAGGTCTGAACCTGCTTAATGTTAAGATCAGCTGGGACCCACCTAATTAAGCCCAGAAATGTGTGCACTGGCTCAAAAAAGGTTGTCTAACCCTGCTGTAAGTGATTATACAATTGTCTTGTTTTTCTATGTTTTGTGTGACTAACTGATTTTTAAATATTTCTAAAAGGGATATGTTCCCATATTTGTTTGATTAGAAGCAGGGGGAATAGTTTTATTTAAAAATCCATCTTAAATAGGACTTGTTAAGTAGGAATATCTTACTTCCAGAAAAGCGAGGACCGTTCCATTCAAGAATCTTGCTGTTCTACTGGTTGAAGCAAAACATCCTTACTAAGTGAGCATTTATTGAGCATTTATTAAAGGATGCAATGGACATTTGATATGTATTGTTGTTAGCAGAGGGGGAAAGAGTTTGTCCCCTCTTTTTTGGCATTATCAGTATTCTTGGAAAATAATACAAATTCTGATATTACCATAGTAACATTTGTACTGTGGTTATATCATGTTTGTTACTGCTGTTACTGCTGTCAATATATCAAATTACATAATGTAGTTTATACATAATGTAGTTTCTCTTAAGTTAAGAGATTGCCTGACTTTTGAGTCAAGCTTGTCCTTTCTCAACTTGATGCCTTCCATAAGCAAATGAAATTACCAGCCAGTTTGGATTTAGTCTTTTATATGTGGAAATGGCATTTTTAGCATTTTTAGGTAGATGTGTTGTGCTGTTTCTCTTAACATTGTGCGTTGATATTGCCTGCCCCTCACTACTTTTTTAAAAAAATCCTTTCCAGCTTGTGTAATCAATTTAGTGGCGTTTATTTTAAATCTTGAAGTGAAACATAAATAGAAATAAATCTACATAATCTTGAGGACATAATCCTACAGTTTATGAAATATATTATCAGGCAGTTGAGTAAAACCTAAATTTATTGGGTTTAGTACACTAAATAAAATTTGCCATAGACTCATTAAAATAGATAGATATAAAGGTAGTCATGGTTAAGACGGAATCCAATGTATTATGTTGACCATGTTCTGAAAAAAATACTGTAATTCTGTACCAAATATGTAAGCCATGTTTAATGAAGCCCTTGAGATTTTAATAACCAGTCTTTCTAGCATTACAAAGTTGCATGGATGGCAGTAGAGAAAACATTATGAAGATTTTGATAATAATTTGGCCATCATCTTGATGGATGACTAGCTTTTCAAGTTCTTTTTCTGTGGTAGTTTATATTTGATAGGTGTCTGTGGTTCATTTGGACTGTTATCTTTAAAACAGCTTGCTGTATTTCTTTCAGCACATTTTATTGCGTAGTATTTAATCATATCACCCTTGATGCTGTTACACGGACAGAATAAGTTTTGCCATTTTGCAACTGGACTATTATTATCATCTTCATGGATGAAATCTGATTGCATTGTGTCATTTTATGGCTCTTTTTTATGTCACAACATTCTATGTGCACCTGAGACAATAATGACGACTTGATGGCATCTAACGCACTCTTTTATTCCCTCTTCCATTTTATAGAGCTGATCGAAAATGTTTACATACCTTCTGTGAGCAGAAGAGAACTTAAGAACTTGAAATCCAGTGAAGTTTCCGAGTGCAGGCCTCAGGTTGCTAGCATTACTGTGTCCAAGAAGCGGAACTGGTTACATCAAAGTTCTCTGAGAGTACCTAGTTTGGAAAGAGGAAACTCTTACAAGAAAATTTCAGGAGAAAATTACCAAGTACTGAAATCTTCCAGTCCTTTCTTTGAACCAAAAATGCCTCAGACTTTTTCCAAATTTCTAGGACAGGAAAACCCTAGAGGAAGAGTCAATTCTGTACATGCTGCTGAGAATGGAACAAGACCTTTGGCATTACAAAAATGTACTTTAGATTTTGGTGAAGATAACGATGCAGATGATGAAGGAGAAATATGGTACAATCCCATCCCTGAAGATGATGAGCCCGAGTTCCCCTGTTTTCTAAATAGCCATAATAATCACTTGGACGCCCAAGCCTTGAATTACAAAATAGCACCTGGGAATGATTTAATCAAAGTCATAGGGCATAATGAAGGCCTTCCTCAATCCTTAGACTGTTCTGGAAATGGTCAGCCTAGAGAAACGAGTCAAATAGAAAATGTGCATTCCGTGGAATGTTTGCAAACACAAAAGCCAAAGCCTGTATGCGATACTCTGACTGGCTCTGCAATGGACGAAGGTCTTCTTAAAGCTACTACGGGAGGTAAGAGCAATGTAAACATTTAACTTATAGTACAATTATGTCTGGCACCCCTACCAGTGTGGTACAGTCACGTTTTAGACAGGTGAAAATTCAAATCTTAACTTGGAACTAGTTATGCATAACCTCCTTAGAGGCATAGATGTCTGTTTCACATGAGTAGCATGTTCAGCTGAAATAATTATTTGTACATATAATATATGCATCTCCTAATAATATAAGATTTCACCATATCTCAGACCTGTGGGAAATCTTGATATTCTACTCTGTCAGAGTGGTTAGGAAGCAAATCTGTGAATCACAGCTGGTTTTTTAGGCTTCATAATAACTCTTGGCTTCATTTTTTAAAATTTAAGTCACACATGTGTTAAGGTGGCAATTTATTGTTTAATCTGGTAAGATTATAAAAAACATTAAAATGTAACTATTCTATAGAGCTGGAAAGAAATTTATTTGGCGTCATTCTGTGAAGTGGTCCATTAAGAATCAATAACTACTACAAAAATGTTGATTTTTTTTCTCTTGCGGAAAGGTAAATTGCACTTCTAAAATAGGTGGTCCTCCTCAATTACTAATGCTAACTGAAACCAGGAACTCTACCACTAAATGATGAGGTGTAAGACGCAATCTGATATGACTGCATTAACTTACAGCAACAGATCCAGCAGTCTCGATTGCTATTGTTAGGTGAATCCTGCATGGTTACAGCCTCCCATTGTTATGTGATCACTATATGTGACTTGCCAGCTTCCCCACTAATTTACTCCTCAGAAGCCAGCAATGAAAATTACAAATGGCAATTGTGTCTGCATGGGACACTGTCGCCATAATTGCAAACCACTTGCCCGAATTGTGGTGATGTGATGGTGGTTGCGACAGCCACAACAAAACGGACCTGTTAAGTCCCTCTTGTTCAGTGCCATCATAACTTTGAATGGTTACTAAGTGTATATTAAGCAAGGATTTGTATTTCTTATACAGGTAACTTGGAGTATTGACAGCTTCCCTCCAAAATTAAGCTGGATTTCATGTTACCTACATTTATTTTTTTAAAAAATACATTTAACATGATTATTCTCTAATCATTTATAGGGTTTATGGGGTCTCTAACTAAAACCTTCTGAGCCTACATGGTGCAATCTTTTCTGAAAAAAAATCTCTTATTCTAAAAGTAGTCTGAGGAAAAGACCTAGAGTACATATTTTATCTCATTAAATACCAACTAATTCATTTCTGTTTTTGAATCTTAACTACTATAGGAAGCTCTACTTCTGTTGATTTATTTTAACATTTTCATAGTTTGACAGTTTTATCTGCTTCGAGATAATTTTTATATCCTTTTACATTTTAATTTTAATGCTTATTTATTACTCAAGTTTGAACGTAAATGCTGTGTTCATCACTATTTATTTTAAACTGTGGCTTTGGAGATCACATCTCAGTAAAGTTTCAATCATATGCCTAAATGTTATTCCTGTAAGTTATATTAAGCCTGAAGGACTGGATATGTCTGTGAAATTCTGGCTTCAAGTATGAAAGTTCATGGACTTTACATTTTATCTTACAATATTAAAGAGAGGATGTCCATGGAAAAATATCAGGATAATTTACATGATTTTCTATGTGTTATTCTCATTTCCAAATGTCAGAAGGAAAATTGCTTAATATAGTCTAGTATGCATCATAATTGTATAAAGTATTAAACCACTCCATCAGTTTTAGCTGACTTCCAAATGATTCATATAATCTTGAACATACATCTCTGCAGATGTTTCATCAAAGATGCTTTGGAATGCTTATATACAGCCATGACTTTTTCCAGGCTTATACAATTGTTTTGGAAATTTGGAAACTTCACATATGTGTATGAATTGCTCCTTCATTTTTTTCCCTTAGTAAAGTATCTATATATGCACTTGTGTGCACAGACAGCCAAGGTGATTTCCATGAATTGGAAAAAGATGTGGCAATGAATGAATGAATGAATGAATGAATGAATGAATGAATCCAGAAGAGAAGAATCCTTTTTCTAAAATACCTCTTTCAATGAAGTAGTTAAATCAATTATAACTTTGGTAAATTGAACTAGTTTTTGGGGGCATCCTATTTCTGTTTCTCTTATTTATTCTAAATGCTTATGTCATCACTTTGTAGTCACATTGCGATCTGTGAGCTTTATCTTTACATATCTCCTGTTACAGAAAGGCAAAACCAATCTTCAAATTATGTTTTTATTTCCATTGGTTTGAAAATAAATGTCTTTTAATTAATTTTTGAATTCCTTTAGAGGAGATATCGTATCTTTCGTTGTACATTGGAACAACAATGGTTATAATAACTCAATGTTATTACCTAAAATATATTTCTTCATAAGATGGAAAAAAATATGTCCAATATGTGTGTGTGTGTTCCCAAAGGCAGGTCTCATGAAGCTCAGGAAGACTTTACTACATAGCACTGTAGTCTCAAGGTTGATGTGTTTGAGGAGAGATGATTAACATTAAGGGGGTTTACATCTTTTGTAGCACCACTATTTGCCGGGGTTTTTTTGGCACATTCTTATTTTTATGGCTTTTGCTAAAATGTTAAGAATGGATTTTATTTACTAAGTGGAATATTGTACACTGTATTTGTACTGCAGTGTAATTCAATGGTTTTTCACTGGTTTTAGTTGAGATTTGTAACACATCTCCTTTACTAGAGAAAATTAAATAGGAACTTTCATATCATAGGCAAAAGGTCATTGCTTTATTGAATGTCTTGCTTATGAGATTATAATGAACTCTGGTGACATTGTTTGTGAGTTTATCCTGCACGGTCTCTTGTGTATGGAGTTAATGAATCTATTTTAAGTATAGTTTTGCCTCTTGGGGTTTTGTGTGCATTGAATGAGGATCTCTTTGAATGAAATAATTGATGAGGAGACTCCCTACTGCTAAGTAATTGGCTTTATTGCTAAAGAATATTTAAGATTTCATTTAATCCTGTTAAGATATTTATTCATAACTATTAATTTTAGTTAAACTGAAGATGACAGTTTACCTAGTCAAAATGACTACATAAAGGACAGTAGGCCAAAAGAAGCGTACATTGTATGACTGTGAAGCAGTAAGCAAAATGTGTTAGGCTTATATGGATTTAAGGTGGAATTGATAATTCTTTTGCTACGGTGATATTTTAAACACAATGAGAATCATTCTAATATCTACACTTTGTTTGCTAGGTTTCTGTAATCTATCGATTTTGTAATCCTGCTTCACTATTCTAGTAACATACATGTTATATGTAAGTTAGGGTCATATGTATGTTATGTTAGAGATACATGTATTTCTCTCACTCACTCTCTCCTTTATTGCTGTTTAATAAACCAGCTAAAGAAAATTGTATTCAAATATCCAAAATTAAATAGATGCTATCAGAGAAAAGTACATACCGGCAATACAAATTTTAAATCAAAATGATCAAAAAGGGCTTGATTAGGCCTCCGTCTCTCTGTCTCTCTCTGACTAGAATTCATGATCTCCCAGTTCCTAGACCAGTGGTTCTCAACCTTTCTAATGCCGTGACCCCATAATACAGTTCCCTATGTTGTGGTGACCCCCAAGTGGGTGTGGCCACCAATAAGAGGGAGTAGGACAGCTAGGGAAAAGGGAAAAAAATGGCGGACAGCATGGTTTGGTGACCCCCATGAAATGGTCGTTTGACCCCAAATGGGGTCCCGACCCACAGGTTGAGAACCACTGTCCTAGACCAATGCCTTAGCACTACACCAAACTGGCTCCCTAAAGCAATAAATGCTGGTAACTATATTACTTTCTTCAAATTTAATCATCAGCAAAAGCCTGTGTCCTATGGTTAAAGAGGAGCAATAAATATGTTTATAAGTACATGTAGTCCTTGGCTTATGAGATCAATTGCAATTGCTGTTCCTAAGAAACATGGTTGTAAAGCGTGACATCATCTGACTCATACTGCTTAATGAAAGGAATTACTGCAATCTTGGTTGCCATTTTTAAGTGAGAACTGCACAGATCATTAAGCAAAGACCTCATATGAGTGCTGACTTCCTTCTGGCTTCTTCATTGACTTTGCTTGTGGAAAGCCAGACAGGAACATTGGAATTGTGATCATGTGACCATCCGACCCTGTGACAGATGGAATTTCAAGGATCCGTCATAAGTTCCTCTCGTTCAATGCCATTGTAACGTTGATAGGCCACTGAACAAATGGTCGTAAGTTGAAGGCTCTTTGTAATGGTCCTTCTTACTGCTTACTGCTTTTCTGTAGATGAGATAGCATAAAAAATGATCTATCTGTTTTTTTTCATCCTATGCAGAAACTTACATACGTTGGGCATAACAGTTCTGCCTGTGTTATATGCCCAAAGTTGTTCTGATAAAGAAAAGTTGAAGGAAGGGGAAGAACTTTGAGCTATTACTAAAACAATTCAGGACAATGAGCATTTATCTATACAGGCATCAGGAAACAACCCATACTCAGGGGCAATGGAAGAGTTACTATATTGGAATGATAACCAATGGAAAATATATTGAAATGGATTGAAGTTTTACAGACAAAACATCTGCAAGAAAACAACCATCAAGGGCTCCACAGTTCAACCTTGAACTACATATATTCCCTTCTGTTGAATTGAATTAAGATCCCATTGTTCAATATAATCTTAACTTTGATTGTGTGATGAAAACTATTGCTTGAATTTTTTTTGCTTAGGCAAACTAATAATATAAAATTATGTGCTGTATTTTTTTTATCATCCAGTGCAACATACAGATAAACCAATCCCAGTTCTCATACAGTACTTTTGCATGTCTTTGTTGTTGGTAGAGAAGTGGGGAAAAATGCACTGTGAAGATGTTAAAAAAAGAGGTATCCTCATTTACTGACCATTCACAATTACAACACAAATGAAAACGCAACTTTAAAAATGACTCCTTTTTTGACTTTATGACTAATCTTCACATTTGCCACCTTTGCAAGTCTTT